AGGGCAGAGGAGGCGGCTCCTCTGGCGCGGTACCTCGGCCAGGTGAGGCCCTAATCGGCCTGGCCCTGTACTGTGGGAACGCTGAAGTATGGTTGAGATAGGCGAGCTCTGGGAGGCTCCTTGCTTATGGAGGCTTTTATGGGTAAAAAAACCTGCAAGCTGTAACCAGGTGTAATGAGATGAGAGCAAAAGGGTAGATGTAGGCTGGGTATAAACTTTTTACCATGAAGGTGATGAGGCACTGGAACAGGTTGCCCAGAAAAGCTGTGGATGCCGCATCCCTGGAAGTGTTCAAAGTCAGGTGGGATAAGGCTTTGGGCAGCCTGATCTTGTGAGAGATGTCACTGCCTGCAGCAGAGAAGCTGGTGACCTTTGAAGGTCCCTTCCAACCCAGACTGTTCTGTGGAGTGACTGTGGAGATGCTCTGAGTGCAAAACCAGCTCTTTTAAATTTAGAGGCTGTTTTCTAAGTTTGAAGTGAAGTTAAATGTTGTGGAATGGCTGTAAATAACTGTGCATCCTTTTAAGCTTAACCTCTACTTTTCACCTCGTTTTGCTTTGAAATCTTTCTTGTGGAAGGAAACCTAAGGTTGTGGTTTGATGCAAAAAGCAAGTTCTCCAGTCAGGAACAGTAACTCTTGTGTTAGGAGGAAGAAGTCTGTGTTTCACAGAATTTCTTGCTTTCTAGCATTCATTGTCAGTTTTTTTTGTTGCTAGGATCTTATAATCAGCAGTAGAGTTGACCAGTAGATACACTGAGCAGGAAACTGGCGTGAGGAATGGGGGGGGGGATCTAAACACCAGCCTCTAACCTGTGTGACTGCTGCTCTGTAAATATTTTGTTCTTCTGAGCTGGCTGCGGAAGGGTGCTCTTGCCCAATTGACCTTGAAGTGCAATTTGCAGTTATGAGAATGGAAGTAGATTTGTTCTGGTTTCTTTCCTGTTGACCTTTTTGTTCTTAGACTAACAATTTATTGGCTCTGAGCCTCAGTAGGTTTTCAAATGCTGGTTGCAAGTTGCTTGTTGATTGCTGGGAATTATAAGGTTCAAACTCTAAATGTTCCTGGGCTGTAGTGAGAACTACGTAAGGGTTTGCTCCCCGAGTTGAAGGCTAGCTGCAAGAGCAGCTGGGCCTTGCATCTCATTTGAGTAATTAGAGATGTGTCCTGGCAAGGTGCTGAGAACCTTTCTCATCTGAAACTGTACCTTGCTTCTTCCCCACAGATTGAGGAAGGGGATGCTAACATGAATGCACCTGTCATAACTCCTTCATCGTCCACTGAAAGTGTGAACAAGGTACCTGTGGTGAAGGCCAAGGCCACTCACATCATCATGAACTCTCTCATTACAAGTAAGAAATCTCACTGCTAATGGGTGTGGGCACATGAGCGTGCTCCAGCTTGGTAATGCCTCAAGGTATCTACCAGAGTTCCTGGACTGCTTGTGGGTTCAGACTGGCTCTGCTCTTGAGCTGTATGAGGTTTTTTGAGGATGCTTCTAGAAGGAAGCAAGGAACTAGGGAGCAGCCCACACTTAATGCCTCTGTGTTTCCAGGTGCTGGAGGGGGGTGATGGAGGAGTGCAGGGCACATTATTTGCTGACAGGACACTGCAGTCCATGCCTCCTTTTTGCTGGAGTGCAGAGGCATCTGCTGCTGTTACTGTACCTTTGCTTATTAACTTGCCCATTCTGAACAAAAGGTAAAGCTCTAAAATTAACCGAAGTGGTGTGAAGAGCTGACATACTGTGGTAATGGAGCACTTGCTGGTGTTTGTTAGTTAATAGCAGCAGCAGCTGTCTTGCTAACAGTAACACTCACTTAAAAAAAACCCCAAACTCCATAGATCATGATGCTTTAAAATCAAATTGGGTCGGTTATGTTTGCAGAGAGGACATGACCATTTGCAGCAAGAGGGACTACTCGTGTTAATCTGTCCCTGCTGCCACTCTGTTTAGCAGCTGGGATCTGAGCTTCATCTTCTCCAAGCAGTGCTTCCAGAGACTTCTAGATTTTGATCAGCAGCATTTTGGAATAGCTTTACATTTGCACTTATTTCTGTCTTGGCTCAGAAATAACCAACACATCAGAAAATAACATCCAGGAATACAGACTTTCTGCTGGAAGGCAGCTGCTGTTCCAGTCTAATGATAAAATGTGAATTAGTTAAAACCATGGTGGCCTAAAAATAAAGTCAGGAACCTCAACCTATACCTCTCAGGAACGAGTTGGAAATAAATAGGCAAATTCCTCTAAATTTCTTATATGCAGTGCACTGTCCCCACAAATAACTTCTAACATTAACATGAGAAGCATTACCTGTTTTAAAGAAGACATTGGGCTCTTCCAGTAATGTTTTTGTGCTCTAATTCCTTTTGACTTTTTTCTTAGTCCCACTAGGAGTGAACATCTTATGCTGATAGTGGCAGGGGAGACAAGTACTTACATTTTTCATAACTGAAGTTGATATCAGCGTATTAGATGCTGGCTCTGTATTTGGCTGAAAAAGCTTATTTTACCCAATCTAGAATCACTGGGAGTCTTTACCACCAGTTCTGCAGGGCTGTGAATGTTAGATTTGCTAGGATGTGCAGTCTTTTAGAAGACTTCAGTTTTTATTGGCAAGAAAATATCCCTTAAATCTAGAAGGCAACTTAAAGGATCCAGCTTATTGGGGTATCCTAGATTTTGGAATTTGTAATTAGGAGTGATGCAGCTTCTTGGGGAAGATGGGTTTAATTACAGTTGTTGCCTTTGTAATACATCTGGTGATCTCGAACAAATCGCTGCTCTTCTGACTTAGTCGTATGACTTGGGATAGTTTTCACATCAAACTATCTCCTTAGCTTCGTCTTGCTGCCTTTGTCAACTCATTGCAATATGTAGGTATGAATGATGAAAAATGGGTCTTGTGTTTGGTTGCTTAAGGTGCCTTTGTTTGCTCGAACTGCTTGTGTTGGCACTTCTGTGTGAATATGTGCTCTTGTCCATTCCAGAGCAGACTCAGGAGAGCATTCAGCGCTTTGAGCAGCAGGCAGGGCTGAGAGATGCTGGCTACACTCCCCACAAAGGCCTCACTACTGAGGAGACCAAGTATCACCGAGTGGCTGAGGCTGTCCATGTAAGCCTTGTTTTGCATTGGCTTTCTCCATGTAGGTTGTGTATTAGCTTAATGCCGATCTGGTCACAAAACTTGGAGCATGTTGCTAGGACTCTCCTTAAACTGCTTCCTCTGAAGGCTTTTAGCTCATTGTGTAAAAAAGTGTTACCCACTCGTATTTTAAAGTTAGTATTAGCCTTTGTAGTTTTGAAACAAACTTTTTTCTGCAATCTGCCATATTCTGCAGGCATATCAGGCTATTACAGTCTTCTTTCCAAGTGGGGACATCTCTGCACAGAATCTAATTTCTTGCTATACCTTTGAATGGTGCCCTGCAGTTGACTGCTGTAACTGTTTGTCCCAAGAGAGCTTGTAAAATGTGCATTTCTGATGTGGAAGTTAACAAATGAAATTGGGCTGACCTCTTACTGGAAATAAAGACAAAGGTGTTGAATCAGCAGGTTTCTGATAAGCTCAGTTGCCCACTGTAATCATGCAATTGGAGTTTAATAGTGAACTCGCCAAGTGTACTCCCACAAGGTTAAAGTTTCAATAACAGTGTTGGTGAATTGCATTAGTGTGGCTTGGGTAGCCACAGGAAACATTCTGAGAAGGTGCCTGTGTAGCTGGTGTTTGAACTGTAACTGCCCTTCAAGTGACTTCTTCAGAGTTCAGTTTGTACTGTTTCACTTGTAATATCCTGGCTCACATACACCTAGTTCCTGTTTTTCTTGTGACCAGGCGTACTCTTCACATGCAGTTTGCAGTGCTCCAGAGCAGTGTTTTCATTCTGTCATATGTAGATTACTTCTCAGGGTCCAGTACTCCTGGACCTTGTACCTTCTGTATGAGGTCTGGTATCACCTTCATTAGAGAGCTTGTGGAACTGAAAGCTCTGTCTCTCTGAAGTGCTGCAGACAAATGGTAGCCGTGGCATTTGGACTTGTTACCAAGTAGCCAAACTGATGTGTGAGCTGGCTGCAAGCAGCTCCCTGTGAATGCTGGTCTTGAAGCAGTGCATTACTTGGGTTGGGTGCTGACTCTGAATGGCGGAGTGAGCTGTAGCTGTTATCTTACCTCTAGTCTGGAGGATGTCTTGGGTATGGTGGACTTCTAAAATGCTTATATCTCATGTGGAAAGAAGCTTAAGGGGTGTATGCAGGTATTGTAACACTGGGTTTAGCATTAGGTGAAGTGATACTTAAATCCTTTGTCACTTGATGTAAACAACTGTCCAGTTTTTGCAATAAAACTGGTCGTTTATTCTTGTATTTAAGCTCTGTTGCTTCTGTGTTTCTCTTGCCTCTCCTAACAGAAGCTAAAAATGCAGAGTGGAGAGATTACAAAAGATGACAGACAGACTTCTTCTGCTCAGTCCACTCCAAGCAGCACTCCCCACTCCTCTCCCAAGCATAAAAACAGGTACTCTGTTCCTGGCAGACCACTGCCTCCTTTGGTTTCCTACAGGCTGCTGAGGGGGGAGCTGCCACAAATAACCTTATCGAGTGAGGGACTAGGGGGTAAAATTCAGAGCCTGCTGTGGATTTGTGTGGGATAGATCCAAATGTTGAAAGCTTGTGAAACTTGAGCATACCTGTGTTAATCCTGGGTGCTGACAAACCTACTAAGATAGTTTAAATTGCCACTGATAACTGTGTGTAAAGTTCCTAGCACAGTGGGGCCACTTGAAGTGTTTATTCTCATGTTTTATATATCTCAATGAATTTTCCCTAGGGGTTGGTTTAGTCAGGGATCCTCTACTTCTATCACTGGCCCAGACTTTGCCATGGAAGCTGGTGGGGACAAATTGCCATCTGAAAGATGGAGCTTTTTTGGACCCAAAGCCATCCAGAAATCCACCAATGATCCAGGTATGTCCTCTATAATCTTCTGTCCTGACAGAGCTAGGGGAGAACTGTCACACAGCAAATGCTAGCTATTTCTGGAGCCTTATCCTGCTTGCCTTGTTACTTTCTAGGACCACTTTGTGAATGTGTGCTATTCATGTAATTTCTGTGGCTAAATATAAAGCAGCTAGGTAAAACCTATGCCAAGGATCACAGAATAACAGAATATTAGGAGTT